AGTCTCTTATATATATATATATATATATATATATATTCATATATTCATTTTTAACGTGCCTTTTCTATTGTAAATTGTTTTTATTCATTAAACTAATGCTACTCCGGTCATAACTTCTAGAAGATGGAATTTCTGCAGACAGCACTTTTAATGTTTTATCTTCCACAGTCTTTCTAGGAGTAGATAAATGAAGCTTCCTTTGTTTATTAGTAACATCCGGTGACTTGAACTTCATTCTGTAGCTTAAAATATAAAGCAATCTCACAAATAGGCCCAACATTTAAGGATAGGAAACACAAGTGGCTGCCTAGGATGCTAAATGCTCTTAATTTGTCTCTAGAGTGCCATTTAGGCTATTGCTGAAAAATAGTCACATAGTTCATCAGGATCACTATAACCTATTGAAATATCAAAAGCAATTTTTTGAATGTATTTGCATATCCAAAAAAATATACAAAATTTAATGTAACTGCATACACCACATAAGCAAACAAAGTAGTTCTCAAGCTTATGATCAAATAAAACAATTTGTCAGAGAACAAGCTTCATGAGCTTAAAATTATCACCTTTAATGTTCAAGTTCATATTTTTAATTTTCTTTAACATTCCAACAAGTATTTACAGAAGGATTGTCCAAATCCTTAACAGTTTTGAACACCACAAATCATCTATAATTTTTGTAAATCCAGAAAAAACAAGTCCAAAACTATAAGACCCTTTTCATACCTTAACTCACTTAAAGAAGGCATTATTTCAGTAAATATCTCCAATATGTAGTTATTAAAATTGCAACCAGTACTCTGAGTTAAGCCTCACCAAAGACATAGAGAAAGTTGCAATAATTTTCTTACTCTTCAATTCAAAATTCCTCTGATTAAAGACTACAACTACTTTATTTACTTTTTTTACCCAGCTATTCGCTAAATACAAGGCTTAGTGGATTACCTAGCTATTCGCTAAATACAAGGCTTAGTGGATTACCCAGCTATTCACTAATCACAAGGCTTAGTAGACAACATCCTAAACCCTTCTATCTCTTCCTTTTTTTTTTCAAAATGCCAGTGCACTTCTCACACACACCAAAATTGAGTTATTTCTAAATTTTCCTTATTCTAATATTCACAATACTGAATCTCATATGAGTTTTCCACATTCTGTCTCAGTAACTAAGGGTGTCAAGGCTCTTTTTAATAAAACAAAATGTTAAATAGATTTAGGTTTTTCCAGTATTTTAGTATCATCCATAAGTTTGGAAATATCACCATTCAAGAAACTATCTGAACTTTTAATATAGATAAAGAATAACAAAAGTCTCAAAACATATTCTTTCAATCAGAAAAATGCCATTCATCAGGCCTGGCATGGCCAGGTAGTTAGGGTACTCGACTCGCAATTTGAGAATCGTGGGTTCGATTCCACATCCCACCAAACATGCTCGCCCTTTCAGCTGGGGGGGCCTTATAATGTGATGGTGAATCCCACTATTCTTTGGTAAAAGAGTAGCCCAAGAGTTGGTGGTGGGTGGTGATGACTAGCTGCCTTCCCTCTAGTCTTACACTGCTAAATTAGGGAAGGCTGGCACAGATAGCCCTCTTGTAGCTTTGCACGAAATTCATGATAAACTAAACTAAGCCATTCATCATCACGACTAGTTTCCTATCAGTAAGTTAATTATATGTCAACTTCATTATTTTTCTAAGAATTTTGCCAAGCATAAATCTTACCAATTCATTTAACTTGTACAGAGAGTTCACAGTTTTTTGTGCACCTTTTGAAACACTAAAGCTAATTATGTGGATTACCAAGTTTTTTGGGGCATCATGGCTCAGTGGCTTCACATTTTGGATTTGTAATTGAATTATTGTGAGTTTGAGGCTTGCCCAGGTTATGTTATCGTGTCCTTGAGCACGCACCTTACCCCAGTTGTTTTAGCCTGCCCAGCTGTAATGATGGGTGCCTGTTGCAACCAGAGTTCGAAGGCACTGTCTCTGTGTGACCTGCAAAGGCATGGCAAGGATGTAACTAAAAAAAAAAGTTTTTCACTGGTGCAAGTGAGATTTCAAATGCATTTGGCATTTCAACTGTTCATTCATCAGCTGACTATATTAGAAATACTGGCTTCAAATTTCAGTGCAGGTGTTATTTCTCATCTTCATAATGTAGAAAACTTTAGCTATTACAGTTACTAGATAATGTTTTTCATTTGCAAAAATATATATCTAAAATATCTGAAACTGTGTTTTACAAAGTAACATATATTTAACCATTTGTGACAGAAAACATACTTTATTATCTTGCTAACTTGCTAAGTAAAACTTGCATGGAAAAGAAGAGGCCTGTTGGTCTGTCGAGGATCTTTCATCTGGTTAAAAATAGAAAAGAAACTTGAATCTAATTCTGATCTTTTAAACATTGATTGAGCCTTTACTAAGACTTCCTAAAATTACTGCATCTACCACATTTGAAGACAACCCATTCCAAATGCTGACCACTCTATTAAAAGTGGAAAACTATTGAAGCTGAAGATTGCCCCTACCTTGCCAAAATTTAGACTTTTGTCCCTTTGTTGTACCATTCTCACCATTAAGTATGAAAAAAAATGATGCATAAATAGTATCAGTTCCATTAATAATCTTGAAATCCTTAATCAGATCTCCCCTTTCACTCTTCCTTTTTATAAAGAAAAAAGTTCAGAGATCTTAAACTGTTTTTGTATGATAACCTTAATATAAAAAAAGGCTCATCCTTATAGGTAGAATGTCATTTTTACTTCATATATAATATGCTTCTTTATAACAAAAGGAAAAATACATTTACTTTTGTTTATGCTTTAGGGAGACTGCTATGAATATTGTAAATCAACATTGCAGAAAAGAACTTGATAAATTTGGAGCATGTGTTGGTCAGCATCCAGAGTCTTGGAATACTAGTTGTGCAGAGGCGAGATTAGAATTAGCTCGCTGTTCAGAAAACAAGTAAGCTATGTTTACAATCATAACATATGAATATTGCAATTAACAAATAGCATTAAATATTCTGAATTTACAACATTAGCTGTTATAAAACTGACTTCCTTGATTTGTGGTAAAATACAAGTTGAATCGTACAACATTCATGGTAGAAACTTGTTTAGTAATGTTATAAGTTAAAGCTAAATTTATACTTTTTCCTTTCTCACAGTAAGCTAAATTTTACTAGGTTTCAATGCTTCACTAAATCATCGAGCCAAGTTTTGCCATATGGAAAAAAAAGATGAAAAAATAAAAAGATTTAAGTGCACCACACACACATATATTCTGATGTTTAAAAAAAAGGTAGTCGTGAACTAATTTTGAAAAGTGTAAGAAGTTGATAAAGGAATTTAAGTAAATTTGAGACATCACTTCATATAGTTGGTAAGTAAATGTTACCAGAAAGGCCACATTTCATCTTCTGTATACAGATCTATAAGAATGCAAAGTTATAATGTTAGAGCTATGAAGGAGATATTGTTAAATCATTAATAATACAAACATCTGTTTAAAATTATTAAGTGTTCTTGTTACTTTGCATTAAGAAGTCTGTTTGAATAGTGTAATAGTAGTTAATCTATTTTGGGAGGAATGTTTCAATGGTGCAGTAATGGTCAACTGTTTTGGGAGGTTTGTTTGAATGGTGTAATAATAGTTAACCTGTCTTGGGAAGTCTGTTTCAATGGTGTAATAGTTATAAACTCTGAAAATGAATTATCCATCAGTATAATGTTTAATGTTAATTTGAATTAATTAATTCAGACTTTGTTGAATAAGTATATAGATATGAAAGACATCGCTTAATTTAGATTAGCATTTTTAGTTGATTGTTACAAAAATAAAGAGAGAGTTTCATTGATTTTCTGCCACCCTGCTTCTTCTTTTGAAATGGTGTATAGACACTATAAATATAAATTTTAAAAATTAACTCCAGCTTATTGAATTTAACAGAAAGCTTAGTTTTTACTGTTTAGGGAGTTTTTATTTGAAAAGAACATTAGTGATGGTTCAGAAAACTGTTTCATGTGAATATATCAAACCCAATTAAATGATGTTTCTGCTTTCCTTGAAATTGAGAAGAAAGTTAAAAAGGATTTTCTGTTGTTTTTTTCAGTCCAACAATTCGCCAAATCAAGACTAGCTGTGCTGAATCTTTTCAAAAATATGAATCTTGTCTTTCACAAAATACTGCTAATGTTTTACAATGTAAAGATAATCTTAAGGAGTTTTTATTATGTGCAGAACAGATTTCTCCTATACATGTGTAAGGATGTGATGTTTAAAGAAAATTTTTTTTATTCACCAAACCAAGTTGTCAAACTTTTAATCCACTGTTACACCACTGTAGTAAATACTATTTTTTATGGACTGAAATGTCAAAATATTTTGTTATAAATTTTTTTTATGAACTGAACTAGTATTCAAAAGAATATTTCATTGCCTAACTGTACTATAAGCTACTCTGTAAAGTGCTTGTATATGTAAAGTAACTTGAAGTCATGAAAAAGTCTTAAATTTTACCAATGTACATGAGAAGGAAAGTAAGTTGGTGTACAGTTATATTATTTTGATGTCAACCACCAGACTGAAATCTTACCAAATGATATTATGAACAGTGTTGTGAATAATAAATCAGAACATTTTCAAACCATTTCGTTATGCAACATGTATATTATGATTTGAAAAATTTGTTATTTAATGTTTTCTGCACTTGAAACCACTGCTTGAGTACAGTATTGGTACAAATGTATTTGTACGTTAAATATTATTCATGTACTTGTGTTTGATAGATGTTTCTTGAACAAAATAGAATTATTTTGGAAATCTAAAAACTAAAGAAAACTTAAGTTTGTGAAACATGTTGTTTTTTTTTTCTGTCTCAGACAAACATATTTTCCAATACTGTATTCAAGAAGTTCTTTCAGGTGCTAGTCCTTTCAGCCTGGCTCTGACTCGTTGGAAAGTTTGAGGGCTTAGAATGCAAAAAATCAGGTTTCAGTACTCACGATGGGCAGAGCATAGGTAGTCTACTGTGTAACTTAACAATAAACAAGTTTAATTGATAATTATAAACATACTTTTTTTTATAGTTCTTAGATTGTATTGAAATTTAATTTCTCTGTACTTGTTTTACAAAATTGTAAATCATTCTTGGTAGAATAAAGCTGAAAAGTAAACAATTTTCTAAACTACTCATTTACCATAGAACACTAAATATTGCTGGTGGGGATAGTATTTACGTTTATATATCTCTAAAGATACGTACCTATAGTTGACATGACATTCATACCATGTATATTATTTACTTAGATCAGCAAGTTTAGTTTCCCAGAACACACAAGTTAAATCATTCCTATTCTGTGTAAGTTACTTATTTTGAGCTTGTAGATTTTAAAATTATAATAGCTTGAAAGGTCTTAATATATACACGTGCTTAGAAAACGCTGTTTGAGTATTTCCAGACATCATATTATATATATAGAACACCAGTTTTTGTTGTTGTTTTTTCAAATCTAATCAACATGGGAAAAATCACAAAATACTGGAGGACTACTTTGTCAGAACAAGCATCAGATGTTAATGATTTATATTCAAACGGAACATTTTCAGATTTTATTTTAAACACGTTCAATTAAAGCATTAATGAGAACGACATTATAATGCAGTTTGACTATATATATATATATATATATATATATAATATTAATA